TATATATATATATATATATATATATATATATATATATATATATATATATATTAGCTGGTTCCTGCAATAATTTTCTCATATGCTATGTATGCTTCCAAGAACTCCTAACAATGTATTTATCTAAATACTTCTCAAGCATCCTAGGTCAAAATGGCAAATGGTCTCCTGAATTAAGGTAAACACCCTTCTGGAGACACCTCCTTGGAGACAAGGTGCATAGCTTTTTTTTTCTTGTGCAAATGAAGCTCAGACCCTCCTTTCTCTCACAGACCAAATACCATTCCAGAGCAACTGACTCAGAACAAAAGAGTTTTTGCTTACCAGGGGCAATGAAGAATTGAGGCAAAATTCCTAGCTCTGAGCAGAATTGCCCCATCTGACCAGGAAGCAGCAAGGAAGAGTTTTTGTGGATTATAGTTGAATTGAGTCAGGTCAGGGGGTAAAAAAAGAAGGAATGTAATGGATGGAGGATCGGAAGATGAAGATGAGTTGAGAGCAAAGGAGCTTACTTAGAACTAGGACAATGAGATGATGGGAAGAAAAGGGACAGAGAGGAGTTGAATGTGAGAACAGAACTGAAGCTCTGTAGATAGAATTTTGTCTTAAAGGAATAAAGTAGACGGACATAAGAGCACAGTGTACTTAGATTATTTTCCCACAGATTATTCCCACTGTTAGTAATGTCTCTCCTGGGTCCTAGAGAAGGAAACTAAGAGGCTGGACCACAACAGTTTCTAAAATTCCAGGTGTGTGTTACCTTGTAGGTTTCTATTAGATCACTCAGTACTCATAGGTCCATAAGTTGGTGTTGTCATTACCCCTATGTTCAGATGAGGAAACAGATTTGAAGGTTAATGACTTAGTCATGGATCCACATAGATCTAGAAGAGGAACCAGAACTCAGAGCCATCTGGATGAAGCCTGCTGTGTCCCCAGCCCTGCACTGAGTCTGCACCCAGCAGAGGAGCAGAGCTGGTGTTCACTGGTGTCTGCCTCTCCCTCTTCCAGAGTTCAGTTCCCTGTGCCTGGTTCCTACCACTGTCCCAACACAGGACTCCGCTTTGTGGTGACAAGGGCCGTGACCATCGAGATTGGATTCTGTGCCTGGAGCCAACACCTGGACGAGACTCCCTTTCAGCACAGTCACATGGTGGCTGGGCCTCTGTTTGACATCAAGGCTGAGCAGGGAGCTGTGGCTGCTGTGCACCTCCCTCATTTTGTGGCTCTCCAAGGTAACCAAGGGAAGCATAAGGAGGAGGGTGGTGGTAATGGGAGGATTTGACATGTCACATAGCAGACTGTAGAATTATGGTTGTTATTTATTAAATAGTACTATTTACCATACAAGAGAAGCCATGAGACACAACAAAACCCACTGTAAGAGTTTATTAAGGGAATAGAGAGGGGTTGTGCATAGGCCTATGGAATGACCATGCAGGAAGAGAAAGAAGGAATAGGTGGAACCTTCTTTTATAGGTCCCCCACACACACATGTGCATATGGGCCTATATAGCTGTGCCATACATGAACATAGATTATATGACCACACTGCACTCAAATTATATGATCACAAAACACACAGATTATGTAGGAAGTAAGGCCCTGGGATGACTAAGCATCATCTTACCTGGCTACTGGACAGTGCATATGTGGTCATGTAGCTGGGGGAGTGGCTAGGAATTCTAACAAAAGTGATGAGGTAAGGTTTCATGGCATCCTTAACAGGGCACAGCAGGTTATGAAGGTAGACACTGAGATGTTTTGTTTTCCCTTCCTGTCTGATGTATCTTTTTTGAAGCACATGTATCCCAGCCTTATTATTTTATTTCTATTTTATCTGAATAAGTCCCTGAGTGGAAAGTGATGTCCTTAGTAGAAATATTAGCTGGTGATTATTAAGGGCTCTTTACCCAACATGTCCCTCAGTGGCCAAGCAGGGAATTGAGAATAAACTGAGAAATTTGAAGAGATGGTTGCAAAATGAGACTAAGGAAATAAACAAGGATCATTTGGTACTCAGGGTCTACCAATAATATCAGCTATTACACTGCTTCAGACAGGGAGAAAATGATGTCACCAGATTCCATTTGAGAACTGGAGCAAAAAAAGAGGGGTTTCCTAAGAAAAGAGGGGGGTTCATCCAGTCTCCCAACCTCCGTGATAACCAAAGATCCCTTCAGAAGATTTTTTTATTTTTATTTATTCTTCTCTCATTGAATACATCCCAACTTGAGCCTTCCCTCTCTCCACTCCACACAGTTCCCCCTCCCCTCCCCTCTTCCCCAGATCCACTCTTCCTTTGTCCCTACAGAAAAGAGCCAGGATCCAAGTGATATCAACCAAAGACAGCATAACAAGTTGCAATAAGACTAAGCCTGGACCCTCATATCAAGGATAGATGAGGCACCCCAGTAGGAGGAAAATGGTCCTGAGAACAGAAAAAAAAAGAGTCAGAGACACCCACTCCCACTGATAGGAGCTTATCAACCACAGCATGTGACCAAAAAGATGTTTTAGTAAATACAATGTTCTCAATGAAAGATCTCATAAAGAAAGCCATTACTATATGTCTGTAATCCCACATCTCCTGAGGCTGAGACAGGAAAATTTAGAATTCAAGAGCAGCCTAGACACAGCCAGATTCTGCTTACGAAAGGAAAAACCAACAACAACAAAGAACCAGGTGTCATACAAGTGGCTAATGATCGAACTTCCTCTCCTGCTTCAAGGAGCACAGCAATAGGCCCACTATAGAGACCAGGAGAATCCAGCCCACAGCAGAGGAAGATGGTGTTTACTTATGGTGATGAAGATGAGGAGTAGGTCAAGAGGGGAAACCTGACAGGTGAAGAAGCCATAAAAACTAAAGAAGAAATACAGACTGTTCTGGCTGTTAGAAGAACCATGAATAGAAAACAAAGCATTCTTCAAATTAGAAATATTCGCATTAAATGTCAAGCTCAAATGATGAACACAAATGAAGATGGAGAAAACAAGCAGGACTCAGCTGAAAAGAACTCACAAAACAAATAAAAACAATAGTCACATTCATAAACACATGAGACCCTGACACAGGAGCACTGCTACTCAGATGATAATTTCTCAGTGTGTCTAATGAGGCCAGTCCAGCAGGTCCACAGAGTTCCTGGTCTCCCCAACAACACTTGCCCAGTCACCACTCAAGCTCTTCCCTGCAGAACACCACCTTCCTGTGTCTTACTCCCACTTTCAGATCAGAAAACTACACCATTAGAAAATTAAACATATGTGACTCTGTTAAAGGTTATAAAAGGACAATATGTGTAGGAAGGACAGTCACAGGGACAGGTGGTGGCATACACCTGTGATCTCAGAGTTCTGATGCCTCAGGAAGTTTCTGATCTTAACAATGAAAACTCAAGCACCCCACATTCCCCTCAAGTCTCAGAGGTCATGACTAGCATTTACCCTAGCAAGAAGGGAAATTGGAGAGGTACAGCATCTTCCAGGATTCTGTGAAAACTGGCACAGCACAAAGCATGGATAAGTCTAGAATCTGGTGCTGGGGATGAAGCTGACTCAGAGGAAGTCAGGGTTTCAGTGTTCAGAACTGTCACACAGAGTGCTGTGTGGTTCCATGTGAAACTATTAGCTGGCGTGTCATTGATGGAGGTTCCACTGCCAGAGAAATTGCATTGTCTCATTTCCTGGTGATAATTGATTCCAAAGCAATCACCTGAGAGAAATAAAAATGCTCTCTGCTAAACAACACACATTCCAACACTGTTTGTCACGGTGCAAGTAGGAAGCAAACTCAGTGCTGAAGGGACAGGCAAATAATGGATTGTAGAGTGGCGCATCCATAGCAGGAGTCCCATCAAGCTGACAAGTGGCATTCGTCATCAGGATTCTACCGTTGTCAACTTGACACCCAAACACATCACTTAAATCCTAACTTTCCATCTCATGTCTCCGAAGTTTCAGTTTTGTCTCATAATGCAAAATACAACCCAATTTCAAAGGCCCCCAGAGTCCCTGATAATTCCAGCAGTTTTAAGGTCCATAAAGTCTTCCTCTCAAAAGAGACTCAAGGCAATGTCTCAACTATGAGCTCCTATAAAATAAAAACAAGTTACATACTCTCAACATACAATGGTACAGAATAGACATTGCCATGCCAAAATGTAAGAATCAGAGCATACCAATGAATGATCAGACCACAGCAAGACAAATCTCCATCAGCATAAACACCAAATCCTGCAGCTCCATGTCCAGCTACAGAGATCATAATGTCATTCGCTGGACTCCAAAGGGCATAGGTAGCTCTATCCCTCCAGTTCTACCACATGAAACACACACAGCCTCTCCTTAGGTCATCTCTCTACTCTGTGCCTAAAACTTTATTTGTCAGGGAAAAAATGTGTTTCTGGCTTCTCAGATATCCTAGGAAGTCCATTCCACATTAGGCTTCATTTCAAAGGTCCATAGAATGAGCACTCAGGATTCTTGCAGGATCTTTGACTCAGGCACATTACCTCACCTCAGCTGCTATCTGAAACTGTGCAGCATGACTCAGTGACCCCCTCAATCCAGCATCTTTCATGGCTAAAAAAACTATAGGAATGTCACTGCCAAGTTGACAACTTGAGATGTGGCCTCTCCCTGCCCCCCTGAACCACAGCTGCTTAATGTGCTGACCATGGGAAACACTTCCTTGCATTTGCGTGTGTGGAGCAGGGAACACCATCACTTCAGGCTTTCTGCCTTTAAATGAATGTGGATCTTCACAAGATGAGTCTGTGAAGAGTGAGATTTCCTGTTGTCACCTGCTGCAGCCTTCCCTTCAGTGACGCTGCTCTCTCACAGTTACAGCGGGTTGTGTAGAGTCATTCTGGATGTTTTCTGTCCTGAAACTTCTCCTGCCACATAAGTCCCTTGTGTTTAAATTCATCTTCACTCATATTCAGGGCATTAACACAATAAATCTAGATTCCTGACAAAACTGTTGGATGAATGGATCCTTTCACAGTTCCCAATGGAAACCTTGCTGCTCTCTGCAACCTCATGACTGGCCTCCACTGTCTCTCTCAGCTTTCTTGTCTTCCTGCTTCCACCCAAATGTCCACATAAGCATGGAAGTGCTTTCCTAGTCCTAAGTACAAAACTCTTCACATTCCAGCCACAAAACAGTCCCAAAGCTGAAGAACTACATGACTGGGCTTATTACTGCAAAAATCTGAATCCTGGTATCAATTTTCTGTCCAGCTTACTTTACTTGTAACTCACACAAAATGCCTGACCAAAGAAACTTAAGAGAGAAAGGATTTATTTTTCTCACAGTCCAAAGGGACAGTTCATCATGACATGGAAGTCTGAGAACATGGATTTTGTGGCACCTGGTAACTTGTGTCAACAGAACGAGCAGAGAACAGTGAATGCTTATGCTCATGTGACCTCCATTTTACACAGTCCTGAGTCCTATTTCCACAGAATGACACTACACACAGTGGATAGGTCTTCCCTACTCAATTAACCCAATCAAGATAATCTCTTCCTATCAAACCCTGAGGCCTGTATACAAGTTGATTCTAGATTTCGTCTGGTTCACATTCCATTTTAACCTCTCCATGGATGCATCTGGCTTTGTCTTCAGTGGACAAAGGTACCCTTGGGTCTCTTTCATATCAGCAAAACTCTATTCTACAAGTAAGAATTTAGTGGACACTGCTGATCCAAAGACACTGAAGCTGGTGATGGCAGCACCTCAGAGAACCTGCTGGTCGTCAAGTTTCTGACAATGGCCTCTGCAGCTGTATTCTTTATTGCATCTGTGGATGACATCATCAAGAACCTCCACTCTGCTGTGAATGCTCCCCCAGCAACTAGACAGGGCCAAATGTAAAATGTCTCCAGTGAGTGTCAGTCTGCATGAATCACAACTAGTAGCAGCTCACATTCACCCTCACTGGCATGTTGAATTGATGATGAGGAAACAGTTGATAGTTCTGCTGTGTTATTACAAGAAGTTAATTAATAAAACTTAAATTTTAGTCATAGTTTGTTCTCATAAACATCAAAAATAAATAAAACTAAATAGAAATCATAACCAAGCAACTTTATTGGTGAAATTATTTAGGCAACTCCATGTGTAGTTAAAAGGGAGGTTTATTTTGTGGGGTAACTTACCAGTGAAGGGATAGTTTACAGGGTCTGGGAAAGGCGTAGTGCAGTCCAGCGGTGTTCTCTGGAGAACTCTGCTCAGTCTACCTCCAGCGTCCAGGGTCTAGGAACCAAACGAGCTCCCCCATCCAGATCTCAGGTCTTCAGGTGTCCTATCTCGGCTCTGCCTTGTAGGCGTGACAGTTATCAAAGCCTCACAGGTGGTAGTATTTCCAGATCAAAGCTGGAACGGCTACCCACTACACAACTTATTTTAAAAAAGGATGTTATTGAGACTTATAGTTTCAGAGGGTGAGTCCATGACCACCATGGCAGGGAGAATGGCAGAAAGCAGGCAGGCTTGGCACTGGAGCAGTAACTAAGAGCTTACATCTTTATTGTCAAGGAGGAGAGAGAAAGGAAATTGAAAATAGCACAAACTTTTGAAACCTCTAAGCCCACCCCAGAGACATATCTCTTCCAACAAGGCCACACCTCCAACTCCTTCCCAAACAGTTCCACCAGCTATGGTGGCCATTCTCATTCAAACCAACACAGTCATTCTAAATCCTCTGGTGCTATTTCTCCAGCCAAGCATGGCTCAATGGAAACACCAAATCTACATCTTTGGATCTGTTCTTTCAGAGGGACAGGTGGACATCTCCTGGTTCCATGTGGCCCACTTTCAAGAACATGGGATGGTCCTAGAAACGCCAGCCAGAGTGGAGCAGCACCACACAATCTTGGAAAACCCAAGCTTCTCCCCAATGGGAGTTCTACTGAGAATGATTCCTGCTGTCAGACACTTCATCCCAGTCACTTCCATCACATTGATCTACTATTACGTCAGTCTCAAGGAAGTCACCTTTCACCTCTACCTAATTCCCAATGACTGCACCATTCGGAAGGTGACACTGAGGATCAGGAAACTGGGGCCAGGGTGGGATGACAGGAAACTTTAGATGCAGCTAGTGAGTCCCTTGGAGATATTCTCCACTTGGAGTGGGGAATGCAGTTCTATAAAGAAAACACTGATGTTTATGATTCTGTCCTCTTCATGGTACACTCACACCAGAGTCTCCTCCAACCACCTTTAATGCTCCTTTATCCTTGCATAGACTTCTATGGCCTCTTTCCACCTATCAGGAGGATGGGAATGTTCCATGCCCAACATATAGCCAACTCAACTCCCTCCTTCTCTGTCAAAGACCCTGTTCTCACAATGAACATGACAGGAGCCAATAATTCAACAGTCTGTGTGACTGAACACAAGATGGAAGGGTGCCCAAGAGTTGTCACCACCCCACCTCACACAAATGTACTGATTGACCACCTCTGCTTATTTAGACCAGATAGATGCTGTAGCCCAGAAATCTAGCTAAATTATTGTCTGCAATGTTCCCTAGGCAATTGATGAAGAAGAAATGAAATTTCAGTTTGTTCGAATAAACAAGCCACCCCCACTAGACTCTCTTTATATTGGCTCCCGCTATACAGTGTCTGCTTCTAAGAAGCTGGAAATCATCCCAATGGTGAGCATTCAGGTGTTTACTACTCTACAGGGTCAGATGCCAGGCTTGGGAAACTGTGGGGCAGGTTACGAGGATTTGTAGCAAACTGAGATTGGGAAGAAAACAATTGGTATTTGGGATAAGCAAGAATACATCAAAATTAGATAGAAAGCAATTTAAGGGACTGCACATGAATACAGAAGGCCTGGAGAATTGAGGAATTAGATTCAATATGGCACAGAAAAGGAGGAGCCTAACATGGAATTAAGATGCCCTGAATTAAGATGCCTGAGCAGGACTTTCAAGATGAGCTCTCACTCATTATGCTATGAATCTGAAATGTGCCCTACAGGTGTAAATGTGTAAACACTGTATCCCCAGTTTATGCTAGTATTTGGGGAGTTGTGGAAACAAATGTGTGAAGCCTGGCCATCAGAAGCAGGCTGTGAGGGTTACAGCCATGCTCTGTCCTGCCCTCAGACTTGATGATCCTCTGTGACAAACCAAACTGCCACAAGTTCCTGGCACAGAAAATGGAGCCCCAGCCTACATGCATTTCCCACCAAGAAACTAAACAACATAAATCCTTACTTAAGTTGTTTCCTCTCAAGTATTTGTCAGAGTGATGAGAAAAGAAACAGCATGATGGGGTCCCAGCTGGGCCCTTAACCTTCTGAGTAAAGATGTGTGTTCAAAGGCTGTGAGTTACCTCAGTGTAAAAGACAGCCAGTGTCTAATATGATGTGCAAGATTATGAATGTATGGGGGTGAGGACAGGCCTCCTTCAAAGAATGAGTAGTTGATTGTCACACGCTAATTCATTCTCTCTTCAGGAACTAGAGCTCTGCTACCGGAGCCCTGGAGAATCCCAGCTCTTCTCTGAGATCTACGTTGGCCACATGAATTCAGGGATTAAGCTGCAAATCAAAGACAAGAAACATATGAGTCTCATATGGGAGGCCTTGCTGAAACCAGGTAAAATTAGTTTAGGTCCAGATACCCCAAAGGCAGAAGAAAGGCAATAAGTAGGGAGAGATCTATTGTCACTAATTCCTGGTGTCATGAAATAGCCAAATTGGTTATATGGCTTTTGCTAGATCCAAAACAAGTGGTCTGACCACAGTTTAAACTATAATGCTGTGTTAGCTGCTGTTCCTAATTGTGAAAAAACAACTTAAAAACAGAAAAAATGTTAGCAAGATCTCCAAGGGTACCTGTCCCAAGGACTTTCATCTGCTCCACATATTCTCATTCCACATCCCTCACTTACCCCCTCCCTACACTACCAGTTTACCCAGGAGATCTCATCTATTTCTTCTTCCTAGGGCAATCCATGCATGTCCCTCTTAGGGTCCTCTTTGTTATAGAGCATCTCTGAGGTTGTGGATTGTAGCCTGATTATCCTTTGCTTTATGTCTAATATCCACTTATGAGTAAGTAGATACCATGTTTGTCTTTCTGAGTCTAGGTTACCTCACTCAGGATAATTTTTTTTCTTTTTTTTTAATTTAAAACATGTTTTATTCATTTTTACATACCAACCACAAATCCCCCTCTCATCCCTCCTCCTGCTTCCCCCTCCAAATGAACCCCCCCAACCAACCCTATCCCCTCCTCCAAAAGGATAAGGCCTCCCATGAGGGAATCAGCAAAGCCTGGTACATTCAGTTGAGAAAGGACCAAGCCCCTGCCCCCTGCATCAAGGCTGAGCGAGGCATCCCACCATAAGTGATGGGCTCCAAAAAGCCAGCTCACACACAAGGGATAGATCCTGACCCCACTGCCAGGAGCCCCTCAAACAGACCCAGCTACACAACTGTCTCCCATATGCAGAGGGCCTAGTCCGACCTCATGAAGGTTCCAACGTTGTCAGTCTAAAATTTGTGAGCTCCTACAAGCTTGGTTCAGTTGTCTCTGTAGATTTTTCCAACATGGTCTTGACGCACCCCCCCACCCCTCCTCACACTCATATAATCCCTCTTCCCTCTCTTCAACTGGACTCCTGAAGCTCAGCCTGGTACTTGGTTGTGGAACTCTGCATCTGCTTCCACATGATGATTTTTTTTTCTAGTTCCATTCATTTGCATGCAAATTTCATGATGTCATTGCTTTTTACTGCTGAGTAATACTCCATTGTGTAAATGTACCACAATTTCTTTATCCATTCTTCAGCTGAGGGGCATCTAGGTTGTTTCCAGGTTCTGGTTATTACAAATAATGCTTCTATGAACATAGTTGAGCAAGTGTCCTTGTGGTATGGCTAAGCATCCTTTGGTTATATGCCCAAGAGCAGTGTTGCTGAGTCTTGAGGTAGATTGATTCCCATTTTTTTGAGAAAACACCATACTGATTTCCAAAGTGGTTATACAAGTTTGCACCCCCACCAGCAATGGAGAAGTGTTCTTCTTACTCTACATCCTCTCCAACATAAGCTGTCATCAGTATTTTTTATCTTAGCCATTCTGACAGGTGTAAGATGGTATCTCAGAGTCATTTCGATTTGCACTTCCCTGATGACTAAGGATGTTGAGCAATTTCTCAAGTGTCTTTTGTCCATTTGAGATTCTTCTGTTGAGAATTCTGTTTAGATCTATACCTATTCTTTAACTGGATTATATGGTATTTTGATGTCTAATTTCTTGAGTTCTTCGTATATTTTAGAGATCAGCCAGTCCTATGTCAGATGTGGAATTGGTGAAGATCTTTTCTCATTCTGCAGGCTGTCATTTTGTTTTATTTACATTTCCTTTGCCTTACAGAAAAATTTCAGCTTCAAGAGGTTCTACTTATTAATTGTCTGTCTCAGTGTCTGTGCTACTAATATTACATTCAGGAATTAGTCTCCTGTGCCAATGCTTTCAAGGCTACTTCCCACTTTCTTTTCCATCACATTCAGTTTAACTGGATTTAGGTTGAGGTCATTGATCCACTTGGACTTGAGTTTTGTGCATGGTGATAAATACCTATTTGCATTCTTTTGCATGTTGACATCCAGTTATGCCAGCACCATTTGCTGAAGATACTTTCTTTTTTCCATTGTATAATTTTGGCTACTTTGTCAAAAATTGGGTGTTCATAGGTGTGTGGATTAATGTCTGAGTCTTCAATTTGGTTCCATTGTTCCATGTATCTGTTTTTATGCCAATACCAAGATGTCTTTATTACTATAGCTAGCTCTATAGGAGAGCTTAAGGTCAGGGATGGTGATGCCTCCAAAAGTTCCTTTATTGTGCAGGATTGTTTTGGCTACCTTGGGTTTTTTGTTTTTCCATATGAAGCTGAATATTGTTCTTTTGAGGTCTGTGAAGAATTTTGTTGGGATTTTGATGGGGATTGATTTGAATCTGTATATTGATTTTGGTAAGATTGCCATTTCTACTATGTTAATCCTACCCATCCAAGAGCTTGGGAGACCTTTCCATTTTCTGATATTTTCTTCAGTTTCTTTCTTCAAATACTTAATGTTCTGGTCATACGGGTCTTTCACTTGTTTGGTTAGAGTTACCCCAAGATATTTTATGTAATTTGTGGCTATTGTAAAGGGTAATGTTTCTCTGATTTCTTTCTCAGCCCATTTATCATTTGTATATAGGATGGCTACTGATTTTTTGAGTTAATCTTGTATCCAACTACATTACTGAAGGAGTTTAACAGCTATAGGAGTTCCCTGGTAGAATTTTTGGGTCACTTATGTATATTATCATATCATCTGCAAATAGTGAAAGTTTGACTTCTTCCTTTCCAATTTGTATCCCCTTGATCTCCTTTTGTTGTCTTATTGCTCTAGCTAGACTTCAAATACTATATTGAATAGACATGGAGAGAGTAGACAGTTTTGTCTTGTTTCTGATTTTAGTAGAATCATTTTGAGTTTCTCTCCATTTAGTTTGATGTTGGCTGTTGGCTTGCTGTATATTGATTGCCTTAATTATATTTATGTATGTTGCCTGTATTCCTGATCTCTCCAAGACCTTTATCATGAAGAACTGTTGGATTTTGTCAAAGGCTTTTTCAGCATCTAATGAGATGATCATGTGGGTTTTTTTTCTTTCTGTTTGATTATATGGTGAACTATATTGACAGATTTCTGTATGTTGAATCATTCCTGCATCTCTAGGATGAAGCCTACTTGATCATGGTGAATGATTTTTTTTTTTTTGTTTTCTTGGATTTGATTTCCCAGTATTTTGTTGAGTATTTTTGCATCAATGTTCTTGAAGAAGATTAGTCTGTAATTCTTTTTCTTTGTTGCATCTTTGTGTGGTTGGGTATTAGGGCAACTGTAGCCTCATAAAAAGAGTTTGTCAATGTCCCTTCTGTTTCTATTGTGTGGAACAATTTGAGGAGTAGTGGTAGTAGCTCTTTGAAACTGTGGTAGGATTCTGTGCTGAAACCATCTGGCCTTGGGTTTGTTGTTGTTGTTGTTATTGTTGTTGTTGTTGTTTTGGTTGGGAGACTTTTAATAACTGCTTCTATTTCCTTGGATGTTATAGGTCTATTTAAATAGTTTATCTGGTCTTGATTTAATTTTAGTATGTGGTATCTATCAAGAAAACTGTCCACTTCTTTTAGATGTTCCAATTTTGTGGAATACAGGTTTTTGAAGTATGACCTAATGATTCTCTGGATTTCTTCAGTGTTTGTTGTTATGTCCCCCTTTTCTTTTCTGATTTTGTTAATTTGGATATTCTTTCTCTACCTTTCAGTTAGTTTGGATAAGAGTTTGTCTATCTTGTTGATTTCCTCAAAGAACCAACTCTTTGTTTCATTGATTGTTTGTATTGTTCTCTTTGTTTCTATTTATTGATTTCAGCCCTTAATTTGACTATTTTCTGTCATCTACTCCTGGGTAAGTTTGCTTCTTTTTGTTCTAAAGCTTTCAGGCATGCTGTTAAGTTGCTAGTGAGAGATCTCTCTGAATTTATGTAGGCATTTAGTGCTATGAACTTCCCTCTTAGCACTGCTTTTATAGGGTCCCATAAGTTTGGGTGTGTAGTGCCTTCATTTCCATTGAATTCTAGGAAGTCTTTAATTTCTTTATTTCTTCCTTGACCCAGTGGTGATTCAGTTGAACATTGTTCAGTTTCCATAAGTTTGTAGGCTTTCTGTAATTTGTGTTGTTGTTGTATTCTAACTTTAAGCCATGGTGATCCAATAAGATATAGGGAGTTATTCCAATTTTGTTGTATCTGTTGGGATTTGCTTTGTGACTGAGTATGTGATTAATTTTGGAGAAGGTTTCATGGGGTGCTGAGAAGATGATATATTCTTTTGTGTTTGGGGTAAACGTTCTACAGACGTCTGTTAAGTTCATTTGAGTCATAATATCTGTTAATTCCCTTATTTCTCTGTTAAGTTTCTGTCTGGCAGACCTGTCCATTGGTAAGAGTGGGGGTCTTGAAATCTCTCATTTTTAGTGTGTGGGGTTTGGTGTGTGATTTAATCTTTAGTAATGTTTCTTTTACAAATGTGGTTGTCCTTGTATTTGAGGCATAAATGTTCAAAAGTGAGACTTCATCTTGATGGATTTTTTCCTGTGATGAATATGAAATGTCCTTCTCCATCTCTTTTGATTAATTTTAGCTTGAGTCTACTTTATTAGATATTATCATAGCTATACCAGCTTGTTTCCTAAGTCCATTTGATTGGTAAATCTTTTCCCAATCCTTTACTCTGAGGTAATGTCTGTTTTTGAAGTTGTGTGTTTCTTGTATGCAACAGAAGGATGGATCCTGTTTTCATACCCATTCTGTTAGCCTGTGTCTTTTTAATAGGTAAATTGAGTCCATTGATGTTAAGAGATATTAATGACCAGTGATTGTTAATTGTGGTAGTATAGTGTGTACCCCAGTAAAGCTTATCTGAGGATCAGAGGACAAAGCCAGTCACTAAATTAGACATAGAGGTCAGGCAATGGTGACATATACCTTTAATCCTATCACTTGGAAGGCAGAGATCCATCTGGATCTCTAAGA